TACTAATCGTTCAGTAATCAGGAACATGGGACTACTTCAAGGCCCTGACGTGTCTGATGCATCCTAAAATGGGACCAACAGGAGAAGGACACTACTGGTGATCATTCACAAGAAAAGGGTTACAGAAGGTATGTGGAGAAATTCCAAACTGTACAAATCCCAGTTTGCATAAAAAGATGCAAGATGCAATATCGAAGATGCAGTGTGCTATTTCTTGACAAATTCTTGAGTGTCTTAACATGTGAATGTTTGTTCCGTGGAGAAGATGTGATTTGGATTGCCTTTCATCTTCACTCTTCATTTAAATGGAAGTCACAGGACCAAATTACCAGGTTGGGAGTAAATCCTGTTGAAAACACATCTTTCTGCTGCTAATTCCTTCATATTAATGGTTCATCAGATGACGGAAGTACTAGACTGGAATTGCATGGATCTCAGCTTGATTTGGTTAAGGACTATTGGTTAAGGATGATGTTCTCCACCAGTTAGCCCAGGCAAAAGAAAATCAGTCCCCCTTTTTTCGTCCACATTTTGGCTATTCAAGATGATGTCTCCACCAAAATACCAGTGCCCCACAGGGTTTGAGCTCTTCTACTTGTAAAGCTGTATTGACTGCAGGTAAGTCAGCAACCATACAATCAAATTGAAGTTGAGTAGGTATGCGCAAATTTTCCAGATGTCCACAGCATTCAGACTGTCACCCGCTTCAGATTGTTTTCCTTGTGGGGGAAGAAGTATGGCCTTGTTTGAGAGGAAGAAGATGAGGCTGAAAGGACAATTTAATCATTTAATCTGGCGCTGAAGCAAAAACCGTCACACAACTTTGTCTTCAAGAAACGTCTCGGATGTGTTTGATTTCCATAAAGCTGATTAATTGCTTGTACTATCCTAATATGTATTTGTTGATGTTTTTACCCTGGGAAGAAATTGCATATGCAGACAAATCTGAGGCAGATGCCCATAGACACAGATTTTGTGATCACTAACCTGCATTTGATGATTACAATCTCATTCAGAAATCACCCATTCTGCATTGAGTGAGTACTGGAACATGTGGATGGAGCAAAGATGCTTGGGTTGAAGAAGACACCACCATTGTGATGTTTCCATTGTGTAGAACCAACAGCTATCAATTCACAATGAAAGAAACCAGCGAAGCATAATCAAAATATTCTATTCATATTGACATTGCAAGAGGAACGTTTTGAAGCCTTTTTGTATTTACTCATTTGGAAGACACCTCTATCCAGAGATTTATGTATACAGTGCCTTCAAGATTGACAATTTGTGTTCCCTGCCAAACAAATCCATGACCTTGGCGTGGCTAGAACCATACATTACCAGATGATCTACTGGACCTCCTGCATTTTGTTTCCATATTTGGACTTTGGATTAGAAAGTCATCCCGTTGTATAAGTAAGTGATGAGAACTCGATAGACATGGCTATTTGCAAGATTCTTCAAGAAATTTTTGCCAAATTTCCTAAATATGCATCTGTTATGTTGAGGTATTTTTAACAAGGATTTGGCAATGAAAAAAATGGAAGACCCAAAGTGGCAACTGAAAATTCTACAATAATACCTGTTTACAGATAAACTTGTTTGAAGCAACTGCCAACAGACATTTGATTTCATTCCCAAGACAGTCAAGCAGCAAGATTTGCTTATGAGATTTACGTAGAAATTATTTGCCATATGCCAAGTAAAAGTCTGCAATCATTGCTGAAATTGGAGGGTATGCCATTTTATTCAGCAAGAAGAAGGATCTGTGAAGACACCAACCCAACCGGAGATCTTCAAAAGTCTTCCAGCAGTTACCTAAAGTTGATGCCATCGCTCCCATAATTGAGTTTATTATGGAGTTCAATGCATCTAATACTTGTCTAAGATTACTCAAGCTGACCAATCAAGATATTGCATTGCAAGAAAAAACACATTGAGATGTTTTGACTGATTTTATTGGTCGCCATGTGTTGGCACTCTGGAACAAATGAGTTTATTGAAGGATCCTCTGAATGGAAACACGCAATGACAGTGAGAGGAGAGGCATGAACTTGCCATATTTATTATGACCTGACATTTTTATTATGCACCATTCAATTATTTATTTAGTGATATGGTATTTAAATGAAGATTGAGCCAACCCAAATTTTAGGTTTGCCCCAAATTGCGTTCTTATGCATTATTCTATGACGTTTTGTAGTGTAAATAGTGCGCGTTGTGTTCACACTGAAAATTCCAAAAAGATGAAGTGTACTTTAAATACTCTGATGATGCACTTTCAAAAAAAAAAAAATTTATGGAATGTTGGACACTTCATGCACTCACTGTCTCAGCTTTAATTACGTAGCAAAGGGGGTTGGGCTATCAATCACCGATTATGAATGAAATAACCTTCTAAAATTCATACACAACATTGTTGAGTATAGCTTTTGTTTTCAGCACACCGCTCAAATTGAACTGAAATTACGAATTGTTAAAACAATCTGAATAGTGTGCACCTACTTTTTATTTATTGGGTCACAGTGAATCAAGTCAGTGAATCGTTTAAGTTGTTTTCTGAAAAGGAGACCACTTTTAATTTCATTGGAAGAGACGTCTTAGAAGAATTAATAGAAGTAGTGCTGGTAAATTTCTTGATAAAAGGGATTATATGACAGGTAAAGGGCTGTTTATGGTTAATCTTAAACTTTACTACTGAACATTTGTACATGAACTTTGTTATTCCGATTTATATTAATTCATAAATGTTATCATCTGGTTAATTAGTTGATAGGAGCATTTTAAAGCTGGAATGGGACCTTGTATCTTTATATCATGTGACCTCTTGTTCAGTCATTTAGGATATTCTTCAGATAGGCAGTTATCACTTGACTTAGTCAATGTGGGTCGACAACGCCTTGATTTCCTTCCCATGCTGGAGCATTCTGGAACTTACAGGGAGTCAGCAGTGCATTCTGGGACATTTGCCCAAGAGATCATCACCCTTGTGCACCAAGTTAAAGGTCAGGAACCAATGGATTAGCTTGGCAGTATATTGTGTATCTTAGAAAGAGCTTATATTACGTAGCAAAGAGTTGATTTTGGTTAACTGTTTGCTTATTTGTTTTGCAGAAAATTACTTTAGGGGCCAAGGCATCACACTTAATGAACGTTTTGCAAATCAACAGTTTTATTCACTCCAAGATGAGTTTAAGGAGGAAGAAGAACAGGAGGAGGAGATGGGAAACGTGAGACCAGTCATGAATAGGTACACTTGCCAGTTAATTTGTTTTTATTCATTAGTGAAGCTTGCAAAGGTAAGCATGACTATTATTTTTATTTAGGATTAATGTTTTTATTTATGATTAAAGATTTGATTACCCCAATCCTAAATTAGAAATTTTCTCCACACCATTTGTGATACAAGCATGAAAATTCAGGTCTTTTATTATAGGCAACACAGAATGCCTTCATCAGAAACTCAGATCTTCTGCAAGATAGGGCCGGATCCAGTAAGTTGATCTGTTTTTTTAGGTCCATCAACATCAAATAGAATATTTCATGTATGTTGGTTCAAATTTGAAATGTTTTGCTAGCTTCAGAGACGACAGCTTGTCCCCGACCCTAGTGACCTCCGGTATGACCTGGAGCGAAGAAGACAACAGCGAATGGAGGGTGTGAAGATCACCATTGCTGGGGGAAACTTTGCTCCAGCGGCTCCTGAGGGGTATGGACTGAAAAGTGTTCCTGTTAGCTGTCTTCAGACCAACTTTTAATATTATTGCTATGCATTCAGGTGCTATGCCAATATTTTTGATTTACAAAATTATGGCTTGGTTTCACATACAGGGCTTAGACTAAGCCAGGATTAGGCCATAGTTCAATTAGCTATTGTCTGTTGCTGTTGTCTTTCCAAAGTCAAGAGAGTGATCCCTATGTGAGAGATGATCCTGAAGAAGTGGATGAGAACTTTAGGTGGTCAGAACAAGACCATGAGCGTCAAAGGCAGTGGGTGAGTTCTTGTTGATGTGAAACGTGTCTATTTTTAAGAGTATAATTGTTCATACCATGACTCATTTTGGTCCTTCAGGATGGTCCCCGTCAAAGAATGCCAGTACCTAACAGACAGAACTTCAATCCGCGGGGGAATTTCAATCGGAAAAACAGACCACGGGGACGGCGGACTTGAAATAGTGGTGAGGAAAATGTGCGTATGTGTGTGTATTTAATTATATTATGATTATGTATGTTTAGATAAATATGTATTTATATATATCTTTTTTGACTAATATATATTTATACATTATTTCTCTGAATTTCAAACATAAGTATTTGATGTAGTGTACATTGCTTCTTTATTTTTCTGTTCTCTCTATTTTGTTTTGTTTGTTACCTGCAGGGGGCAGTGCGTGAGAAGAAAGTCAACAATTCAGACCTGAGGTCACTTGTGCGCAACTGTGTTTTTGTTGTGTCGTTTTGATATTAGAACCACTAAGACCTTGATTCAAAGTCCACTGCTTCTCCACATTTGGTGGATCTTTTTCATCCATTTTTTATTCACCCACTACCATTTGTTTGATTTAAGGAAACAGCTTATAAAGATTATTTGATTTGAAGATGGAAACAAATGTAAATAGGACACCTCAATGGGCAAGTTAAAGTGATAAAGATTAAGTATCACCTTGCGCACTGCTCTCATCCTGAAATAATGCTATTCTTCATTATCAGTGGAGTAACTACAGTTTAGTTTTTGATTTGATATTCCACAATATTTGCAAGGCACAAATTACAATTTATACAATATGTAAATGTTATTGCTAATTAAATTTTGAAATTCAATTGCCATTTCATAGCAGTAAGCAACACATGGATAGTTTTGCTTTTATACTAAAATACAGACTTTTTGTCGTATCTACACGACAAAATAATTTCATATTTGATGTATCCTGCTGTGTAAACTCAAAGTAGAAAATAAAATCTATTTGTGCCCAAATGTTCTCAAATGAAGCTTCAGCTGGTTTCAGTCCACATCATTTATTTTACAAAAGAATGCAAAAGCTGTACATGTAAAACATCTTTACAGTAGAATATTTGGTTCATACATAGCTATACAGAAATGATATAGATCGTTCCAACAGGAGTCAGAATTTAATATTGTAAAACTGCACTTTAATTCTGCCCTCAACACAAAATGTGTCTGGTATAACAATTTTATACTAGTACAATCACAGCAGTAATCACAGAAAAGGCACTAAAAGTTTTTAACTGTTTAGACACTTTGAAATGTCTGTTATAGTTCAGATAGGCGTTTCAATGTGATTTTCTACAGATGAGATTAATTACAGGGCAACGGTTTGAAAGACACCTCAGCATTCTCCTCCAAAATAATGTAATATCTACACATCAGTGGCCTGTTGGGGAAAGGAGCAGACACCATAATTAAATGCCTGTTTGTTAGTTCAGATAGGCATTTCAATGTGATTTTCTACAGATGAGATTCAAATTAATCACAAGGCAACGGTTTGAAAGACACCTCAGCATTCTCCTCCAAAATAATGTCATATCGACACATTAGTGGCCTGTTGGGGAAAGGAGCAGGCACCATAATTAAAAACATTTTTGTTGAGCATGCATTACAAATGTTACAATATTTCACTGTATTTTACCCTATTTTTTGATCATATAAATGCAGCCTTGTTGAATGTAAAAGACTTCTTTCGAAAACATTTGATCCTAAACTTTTGAACAGTAGTGTATTAATTAGTTTAGGAAAGTTTGGATGGGCAGTAATTCAGAAAAGTAATTGTAGTTATTCACCTGTTTGGATTTTCCAGTGGGGTTATCCGAATACGAAGCAGCCTTATCTTGTATCGAGGTCCAATCATATTCCCAGTGACAATCCGTAAAGAGATTTTCTGAATTGGATATAAATCCTCATCAAACTGTGCCAGTAATCGAGTGGATGTATACTGCTCAAACCTCAACTGCTTACTAACAAAAACATACAAAACAACCATTACATGATGACAAGTCAAAGATGAATGGATCTATATAAACTCATTATTGCAGTTACGTACGTATCTATCTGGGACTCTATTACATTTTTTCCGTTGTACAGTCGGAGTATGACCACCCACCAGCGCAGAGACTGGTTCCAGGTAACTAGGTCCACTCTGTAGCTTGTCTCTGTTAAAATGAGAAATCAGAATATTGCACAACCCCTTTTGAGAAAACAACATCTGCAATGAGCCGTTATAGAGCTGCTAACTCACTGCTGTAGGGGAGCTCTGCCGTAGTTGAGAAATACGCTTTTGTTTGCCCCAACCTCAAGAGTGTATCCCTCCACTGGCTCATGTCATAACCTGAAGATGAAGATCATAGTTAATCTTACATTATAAACAGCTAGGGCCAGTCCAAAACTCTTGATAGTCTTAACAGCACTGTGACCTTTTTGTTTGTATCACTCTGCTTCTGCTTGTCTGTGTTTGGTTGTAATTGCTGGCTCAAAAAATAATTAGATCTGTTTTGTCACATGATCCTTCAGAAATGTTGAACGAAGCTCAAGAAGCACTTCTTATTGTCAGTGTTGTGAAAACGGTTGTGCTGCTTAATATTTTTGTCGAAACCATGATACGTTTTCTTTAATAGAAAGTTCAAAACAACAGTTTAATTAAAAATCTTTTGTAACATAAAAGTACTGTCTCTTTTGATCTAATAATGCATATTTTCAAAATAAAAGTGATTTTCTGAATTGGATATAAATCCTCATCAAACTGCCAGTAATCGAGTGGATGTATACTGCTCAAACCTCAACTGCTTACTAACAAAAACATACAAAACAACCATTACATGATGACAAGTCAAAGATGAATGGATCTATATAAACTCATTATTGCAGTTACGTACGTATCTATCTGGGACTCTATTACATTTTTTCCGTTGTACAGTCGGAGTATGACCACCCACCAGCGCAGAGACTGGTTCCAGGTAACTAGGTCCACTCTGTAGCTTGTCTCTGTTAAAATGAGAAATCAGAATATTGCACAACCCCTTTTGAGAAAACAACATCTGCAATGAGCCGTTATAGAGCTGCTAACTCACTGCTGTAGGGGAGCTCTGCCGTAGTTGAGAAATACGCTTTTGTTTGCCCCAACCTCAAGAGTGTATCCCTCCACTGGCTCATGTCATAACCTGAAGATGAAGATCATAGTTAATCTTACATTATAAACAGCTAGGGCCAGTCCAAAACTCTTGATAGTCTTAACAGCACTGTGACCTTTTTGTTTGTATCACTCTGCTTCTGCTTGTCTGTGTTTGGTTGTAATTGCTGGCTCAAAAAATAATTAGATCTGTTTTGTCACATGATCCTTCAGAAATGTTGAACGAAGCTCAAGAAGCACTTCTTATTGTCAGTGTTGTGAAAACGGTTGTGCTGCTTAATATTTTTGTCGAAACCATGATACGTTTTCTTTAATAGAAAGTTCAAAACAACAGTTTAATTAAAAATCTTTTGTAACATAAAAGTACTGTCTCTTTTGATCTAATAATGCATATTTTCAAAATAAAAGTATTAAAGGGGTCATATGATGTTGCTAAAAAGAACATTATTTTGTGTATTTGGTGTAATGAAATGTGTTTATGCGGTTTAAGGTTCAAAAAACACATTATTTTCCACATACTGTACATTGTGAGAAAGGAAAACTTTAAATCGCATCATATGACCCCTTTAATTTCTTTTTAAAAATCGCTCTGTGATTACAACAGTAGGTGGTGACAAGCAGCTGACTAGGCTGATGATACACGGGGCAACTTTTTGAGCAATTTTGCCTGGTAACTTTTTTTGAGCAATATTTCTTGGGCACTTTTCCATTGAGAATGGGTAACAAATTTCTATCTGGATATTTTAGATCGGTTGTGGGCCCTGTGTCTCCCCTGGTTGCCCATTGACGGCAAAAAGTTGCCCCTTGTATCATCATATGTGACGTTTTGAAACATTCAACTGATGCCTTTAAAAAATAAAAAAAAAACACTGATTCGTTCAGAAACGAAACACAACTACTGCGTGTTGCTCGGACAAGTGACGGTTGATGATGTTCTTATAGCCTACTGTAAAAATGATTTCTGTTTTAAAAGAAAATACTGTTTCAGTCCTTAACATTTAATTCTGTCAATTGTGAAATTCACAAGCAATTTCTGAATCAAAAATGTTTCTACACCAAATTTTTTCAGTGTAGTTTGTTAGGAAATATTTTAATTGGCTGAGCAAAAGCAGGCTGGCAGTACCTGGCAATATTGTGTCTAAAATTTAAGTTACCTTGTATATTCATTTCTTTATTGAACTGTTGTTTATATCACACTTGCAGTGTTTACTCAGTATTCATATTTGCATTTATTGTGGTTAATTAATAGATGTATTGCTTTTACCCAGAGCAGGACAGGAAGCAGGCTTGAAGGTCTCACATTGCAAACACTGACCACTGAGGAAGTCGCTGTATGAGGAACACGGATATGCCATAAGTTTACAGGTGTGATTCAGAGCGCACATGTACAGGAAAACAGACCTCTGATGATCACACACAAAATAAGATTTCCCTGTGGAGAAGAGAAGGAATGAGATTACATTTTAACCCTGTTAACACAACCTTGTAATCAACTCAAACCCATTGTGAGGATTGCATAATTTAATTATGACAGAATCTTAATTACACAGCCAGCTTTTTGCGTTTTGGGGGTTTATCTGGAGAGCATTCTGTATGAGATATACCATTACATCAGATCTCAACTCTGACCTTTCCCAAATGTTTTATCTTAACTTACTGACCTGAGAAGATGGTCTTGGGACATCCAGGCTGATCTAATCCTCCATTGGCATAGAAATCAATATGGCCATGGGTTCCTCTAAGGCCAAAAGCTGCGACAGGAAACAGTGTTTGAGCGTGGGATTTTTAGGCTATGTTTGGCACACTATGCAATACTATTTTAGTAAAACACTGTGCACAGTGTGCAAATTTAAGTATGCATGGAATACTTGGATGACCTTCCACACACGCAAAAATTTGAAATATACAACAAATATTCATATTTTTTTGTTTATTCTGTGATTTCAGTAGCATGTCCTTCAATTTATTATACTTTACTTACAATTCATATCTGTGTGCAGCACATCTACAAACTGGGCATCAATTGGATCAAGGCATTCCTCAGGGGGAGCACTGGCAAACATTGGCCCTGCTGGGTCCAGACCTAGAGTCGACCAGGTGAAACATTTAGTAAACAATATTTATTGGACAGGAATAACTAACTGAAGATGGTACAACCGGTTTTGTTTCATTGGATTTCCTGAATTTCACCTGTGATTCTGCCCACCCGTCCTCCCAGCATTGCGCCAATGAATCCAGCCACATGTGCGCCCAGACTGACCCCAATCAGATGGATGGAGTCAAGAGATGCTCCCTCTTTCTGAAAGTAACACCATATTGATTAAATTGGCAGACCTTACTGGCCAAAGCTATTTCAGAGCTGAAACACTAATGAAAGACTACTGACCCTACCTCCATACTCTCTATGAAGCCGGTGATGTTCACAGCCGTACCCCGTGTGTTGGCCACAGCCGTGAAGTAATTGAGATTGGCCGCCCCTCTGTTCCAATCCACTACCAGGATGTTCATGTCCTTCTGTGCTGCTAACAAGTGCACAATGAGGTTGATCCAGATAGGCGGTGCCCCTGTGGGTCGGTACCCATGTATGACAAAGGTAGTGGGTCTGCTTACATTAAACAGGGGTTCTTGAGTGAAGTTGTGGTGCGGGAGCTCCTGACCACACTCGAGGTTTGCACGGGTGTACAGCAGCAGGCGCACGTACAGATAGGTCCCCATAAAAGACTCATGGAAATCCAAATCGGTGAAGTTGTCGCAATCACTGTCTTCACCTAACGACAGACGACACTGGTTTACTGGTCTGTATTTTGCTGTATGTGTTTGTGTGAAAGAGATTTAAGTTGTAAACTACTGAACTGAATAATTGTTATGGCTTGTTATACCTTTTTGTTTTTTTGTTTCTAGCTAGTTTTGTTTCAGTTAAAAATGTACACTTAACTTAAATGAAAATTAGAAAAGTTGCTGTGGCAAGTTTAAGTACTAAAATTACTAAAAGTGAAATTAATTAAAGCTATATAGGAATATTTGAAGAAACTAATTAAATTACAAATGCGCACAGAAAAATTACTGAAAGTTAAACTAAAATGAAAATATAAAATATAAAAATAAAAGATAGTAAAAAATATTAGTAAATATTATAATAGTATATAAATAATGCTAAAATAACACTGCAGCATGGACAGATGTATACCAAGTGATATTTATTTAAAAAAATATTGTAAAAACATATTAAGCAAAAATTTGCACAAAAAGAAGCTTATACAATGTTAAGTTAGTTTTATTCAAAATAAAGACACAAATGTTTGGACACTTTCTGGTTGTCAGTTCAGTTGGCTGAGACAACATTAAATGGGTATTCAGTGCATGATTAGATTTTTTTTTTTTTTAGAATTTCTTTTTAGAAAATGTGAATTTTTTAATTATTTTTTGCATTTTAATCATGAAAATGTTAAATGTCTGCATATCACAAAATATTACCAGAGCCAAAATATTCAAATTAAACATTTTCCTATCTTTGTGTTTCTCATGTAGCCTTCGGTTAGCAAGCTTAGCCACAGCTTAGCCATCTAGCTTAGCATAGTGCTAGTTGGCTCTTTTGATTAGTTAAAATAATATCAACATAACACACTATTTTTTAACAGGCATCAATGAGATTTTTAAAATGTGAAGAAAATGTAAAAAATGGCTCAGAAAAGTATGGGTAGTTCTGAGAATAGTTCTAGAATAGTGCAGTGAAATTCATACATCTGTTCTGTGTTTTGCTTCCTAGTTTTACCATAATGCCTTAGTTGATCATTTACAAATATTCCTGATTTTCTGGAAACTGGTGGTACATTTTGGAAAAAACTCACAAAGGTTACTGTCATCTCTATTCTTATTTTTTCCCCCCAAAATCGACACAAACTGATCCACAAGTAAAGTAAGGCTGGATTTTAGCGACCCAGTTCCAGTTCATCTTGCTGTGCGTCATAACCACTACACACATCAACATTTCATGCTTCCATTTCTCTTTGCCATCAACCTGCACAATATCCTTTTGATCAACCTGCAGATCCTCACACCATATGATGTGTAAACCTTATATTTAAGCCACACAACCTCTCGGGTTTTCCATGTAGATTTCTGACCCTAGAGGTAATCTGTGCTCCGTAATTAGCCCGCACGCAAGTCACAATTGGATCATGCTTCTATAAAAAAGCAGATCATCCCACCTCTCCATCCACATGTTCCCCTGCCCCCTCCTCTTCCCCCAGTAGAAAGATCTCAGATGATTACAGGTGTCAGTCACATGAGCTGTTGTATTTAACCCTCTTTCACGCTGATCTGTTATGTCTGCCATCTGCAAGCATTACTCATTACACACGTCACTGACATAACATTGGTAAAAACAGGCTACAAATAAATCCTCAAGTCCTTGGATCATTAACTGTCCTAGATACCAGAAAAAATCACCTCTTATTTTCCTCAAATTATTCTTTTGACCTAATCAAAACCCCGTTATGCCTCTGTTTCATAACAAAGCGAATATGCACTTTTTTTGAAAACGTGAGAGGTGTCCATTCTAATGTCTGGATTCAAGTTGCAGTATAACTCTATGCATTTATTCATGTTTTAAGTCTTGAGTCTTTAATACCTCCAACATAAATAATGTAACATTTTGCATGGGAGACACTTAAAGTGTATTAAAATAGTTGAAATTTTGGATAAGACACCAAATATCAACCTAAATGTTCTTTGAGCTATTCAATTGGCCATTGAGTCTTTCAGACCCCAACAACATTAAGGTTAATGTTGTTGCAGCTCATCACACAGCTGAATAGAATAAATGAAGACTTCAGATTCAAAAACCTCTTAAGGCCGTCTAAGATTTTCTTTTTTTTTAATTAGCATTTTTATCAGGCTTCTGTGTTAAGGTTCAGTACATTCACTTTAATGTTAATGAAATGGTTATTAATTAGTTATTGAATGACTTATTTCCAAAAATGTCCAATGTTAAATTCATAGGAGCCTGATAAAAAAGCTCATTTGAAAGAAAAATTTCAGACGGGCTTAAAGGTTTTTGCATCTGAAGTCTTCAAATAAAGAATGTTGAATCAGAAATGAAAAACTTCCCAGGTTAATTATGACCATATAGTCATGACAATTTTTTTCCGAAAAGAAATGGCTGAATCCTTCTCAAAAAAAAAAAAATAAAAAATTTTCCTAATGCCCAGATGATAAGAGTCAGCGGATCAAACTGTTAGCCAAATTAAATCAGTGTAATCTATTGGATAGAGTCCTGTCTCTTACCTTTACAAAGCATAAAGATGCTCAGCAAAATCAGGAAACGCCACAGTGACATCCGCACCACAAGATGTGACAGAGGTAGACACAAGATATATCAAGAAAACTAAGAAATAACATTGGAGTATCTGTAGTAAAGGAAAGAGCCCATGGTGGAGGGGTTGTGGGCGGAGCGAAGGAGATTGAACGAGATCACACATGCTCACGCTGTGGTTAGTGGACAGTGTGATAAGTCAGCAGGCCATCTTAGGACTTCCAGAAGAGTACAGATCATGAAAAGAAGCATTTGTTGATGACTAAACGACTTTACAGGGACAGTTCATCCAAAAAAGGAAAATTCTGTCATTTACTCACCCTCATGTTGTTCCAAACATGTATACATTTTTTTTTTTGTTTGTTTTGGGCATTTTTGCTTGACAGGACAGTAGAGATGGGGGGTGGGAACGGGAAAGGTCCACAAGGTGGGATTCAATCTCAGGACACCCAAAGTGCAACTGCACCATATGTCGGCGTGCTGCCCACATGGCCATCGGCACCACCCTGTATAACTTTCTTCGTTAGATTATAGAAGATATTTTTGAAAAATGTTTTTTTTTGTCCAAACATTGAAAGTCAATGGTGTCCAAAGTCCTTTGAACCTTAATGATCTTCAAAATATCTTCTTTTGTGTTCTGCAGAAGAAAGTCATACAGGTTTGAAATGACACAAGAGCAAATAAATGTGAACAAATGACAAAACTTTAATTTTTGAGTGATCAATTCCAAAAAAAATGTAGACACTTCCAGTTGCTGCTTCTTCTTGTCAGGCATATTCTGCCCTCCGGTTTTGTTCAGCTTTTAAAGGGCACAAGGTCACAATAGAGTGGTTCTCCTTCCAAACTCTAGTAAATGAGCCACATCAGCACAGATATTCATAGTGCATACCCTGCCAGCAAACACACACATGCCATTTTCATATTGCGCCCATATAGAGCATTACTATTGTAATAGTCTCCAGAGAGAAGCAATGACCCAGAATACATTTACATTTCTTGCTGAGTGCCTTAAAACCTTGTTTCCTCTAAAACGAAGTTATGCGTGAAATTAGCACTGCCCTATATCTTGTAGCCTCACCAACTTACTTTACTGCATCTTTGCATTCCCTGCAGGTCCTGTTTATGTGAGTGTAGCAACAGCAACAGAAATGACTGCAGTACAGAGGTATGTTTCTTTTCAATTATTCATCAGTATGTATATAGATCAGCATATATACTGGAGACAGCAGAAATGAGAGCATTCAGGGTCAGAACAGAAGCTGCTTTTGTTTATGTGAGGTTGAAACAGATTAGATGGCAGATTACAGTAACTACTAAACTGTCCATCCATCCCTGCATCTGATGTAGTCAAACCTATTATGTGACTCACCGATCAGGGCTCATTGTACCCATTTTTTCTGCATCAGGCTGACAGATTAACCGTTAGTCTTTTCTTATGACAGCGTCAAGGGTTAAACAGTCATTCTGTGATATGATCATGTTCTCTGTATGTGTGTACTTATTGTTGTTAACATAGGCTGTAAGCATACACAATGAGATTTAAATAAATTTTATTCTCATACTTAAAACATTAGTTAAATGCATACACTCTTAAAATAAAAGGTGCTTCAAAAGGTTCTTCAAGCGATGCCATAGAAGAACCATTTTTGGTTCCACAAAGAACTATTCAGTCAAAGGTTCTTTAAAGAACCATCTCTTTCTTACCTTTTTATAATCTGAAGAACCTTCTTCCGCCAGAAAGAACCTTTTGTGAAACAGAAAGGTTCTTCAGATGTTAAAGGTTCTTTATGGAACCATTTAGACAAAAAGGTTCTTCTATGGCATCGTGAAGCACCTTTATTTGTAAGAGTGTACAAAATATATAGATAATTAAATAAAGCAGATCAGATCAGAGTAGAATATAGCTTAGCCACATTATTTGATTATTTAATCATGTAATACAAAAGAACATTTTGAACAATTCATTTTTAAATAAGAAATGATACAAAGTGCAAAATATAATATAACATATTTTGCCTATATTAAAGGAAAGAGAAACAATGTACTGTACATTGATATTTGAACATTAATAGATATTCCTATAAAAGGTCACCTTTTCATGAAATTAGAGATGAAGTCAATAGGAAGAGGAAAGACAATAGTTGAGTTCCTTTCCGAGGCAATCTCAGTCAGCGTCTGCATATAGCGCAGCTGAAGCGCAGACGGAGACTCTGACATCACGTTTGCTGCCTCCTTCAGCGCACGAGAGGCTTTCATTTCTCCCTCTGCTGCGATCACCTGTTCATGATAGATTAGAACGCTCTTAAATATGTTAATTTTACAAAGGCAACACTTCAGTGTTCAAGCACTTTACCGTGAATTCATTCTTCATATAAACACAATCCCAATTCACAGTCTGGCCTCTGGCACACACCTTTAATTACTAGGAAAATTCCATTGAGCAAATCCAGTTTGTTTTTCTGCTGTACTGTGCCATAGTGTTAGGACATAAAGACTCAGGTTTCCAGTCAACAATATGACTCACATTATTGTAGTGTTTATTGAGAGAGCTCCTGCTGTATTTTAAGGGGAGTTCAGGTTAGCATCACTGAACTGTATGGATGAATGGTTAAATTAATAAATAAAATAAAAAAACAGATGAATGGTGGATGAATAAACGATGTATGACACTTTTTTCATGTAGATTGATTTATCAGTTTATTTAAAACACTGAAAAAAATATATAAGTGTGTGTGAAAGAAAGTGTGTGTGTGTGTATGTATGCATGTATTGATATATATATATATATATATATATATATATAATGATAGATATATATATATATAATGATAGATATTTACATATATTTCTCAAGAAATAAAAAATAATTTACACACACACACACATTATATAGAGAGAATTTAAATTACACAAATTAAATTAAATTAATGTAACTACTTTACATTTAATTTATTAATTCTACTTATATTTAAATTATTATCATAATATATTAGAATCATATAGAAATATAAATCAATTAATTCTATATAACTACACACACACACACACACACATATATCCACAAGATAAAATAACTACATTTACAGTCACAAAATATATACATGTATTGCAGATTCAGTAAGAGGTATCTAACTATATTGTAAGTGGTCAGTCATCACAAATAGCAATAAAATGAGGCTAATGTCTTGACCTGCAAGTGCTTTACTGGTCTGTAGGTCTTGTTTTGGAAATGTATTGGCTTAAGGGGGTTACAGTTCATTTACACTTCTGACCGTATGTGAGGGGCTGCAGGTGTTCATCCACCAATCAGAGAACAGCGTGTCTCCCCAGACAGACTGAACACAAAGCTGCAAAGCTGATAAGACTAAACTTGGCTGGCTCGGCAGAACAGACAGTATAGCATGTGTTTGTGTGTGTAAAGCATGTAACAATCTTTCAGTGCTCAGACACCCACCTTGGCTCTGGCGTCTCTGGTGGCCTCTGCCTCAGCTGCCATGGCTCTCTGCAAAGTGGTGGGCAGTTTGACGTCTTTAAGCTCGACCCGTTCCACTTTGATACCCCAGTTCTTGGATGCAGCATACAGCACAGCCTGTCAGGCAAAAGATGAAACAATAAACAATTTTTATTTAAGGCATTTATATGCTCCTATCCAGAAAGAAAAATGTTGAAATACTCTTAAAAATAAAGATTTCAAAAATACGGTTTCCGCAGTGATGCTATAGAAGAACCATTTTGAGTTCCCCTGCCTAGAACCTTTTGTGGAATGGATGTTAAAGGTTCTTCATTGACCCATACGTGCCAATAAGGAAGGTTTTATTTTTTACGAGTAAAAAAACTAAAGATTTAGAGTTGTTTTCAGGAAGGGTTATCTTACCTCCATCTGTTCAGACATCTCCTCACGGTCTTTTAAGATGTCTGCCAGACTCTTAGTTCCCAGCATGTTTCGTAATGTAGTCTGTGCAAGCATCTGTGTGGCATGATTAGCATTCTCCACTTTGGTAATAGAGACAGTGGGGTTAAAGACACGATAGTAGACCACCGCATCCACCATGATAGTCACTGAGTCTTTGGTCAGCACCTGAGGAGAAAATGTTATACATATTACATTATAACACAATATGATATTAAACTCGTAATATGTATTAACTGAAAAAAATTACAACGATTAAACATTTTCAAATTAATCACTCGCCTCTTGTGGAGGGATGTCAAAAGACACTGTTCTTAAATCAACCTTCCTAAATGTGTCCACACATGGAATAATCCAGAACAAACCTTTAAAAGCAATCAATAAAAAGAACTGCTAGTTACAACTGAGCTAAACAAACCATTTTTAACAAATTATTCATGATTTTAAGAATAGTAATTAATAACCAGGTCCTTTAGCACCGCCTAGGAGTCGTCCCAATCGGAAAATAACTGCTCTTTCATATTCCTGGACAATCTTTTGACAAAAAGAAATATAGATTAGGGATTGATATATATATATATATATAAATAATGAAGTTATAAGTGATTTTCACTTAATTTGATGACCTTAATGTTTATGTCAGATTTTATTGTTTAATAATAATAATAATAATAAACAATTTTTAAGTAGGTTTTACATTAGGTAATTTTTTTTCTTACCTTCATACAAAACCAGACCGAGACAGGAAAAGTAAGAAAGACAAGGAGGAAGGAGAAGAAGGTGAGGAGGTATCCACAGAACCCAGAGCTTCTGGATTGATCACCATCTGATTAAACCCAAAAGCAAGAGGTTAGTCTCAATGGCATCAAAATTATCTGAACAAATATATTATAAAAAAAAAAAAAAGAGAAAGAAATAGAAGCCCGGCAAACCTGACTGGAGTATGACTTTTGTGTCACTCTCTTCATTTGCTACAGGTTCAATTTTGTTCCGGGACATCTCACTCTGAGAAGACAGAGCTACAGACATGGTTAGCAGTTTTTGTTTTCTGCTGGACTGATGAAATATAGTTTCAGTGAGATATTTAAGGTGATTTAAATATGTTCTCTTTTTCCACTACCGCCCATTTTCACACACAACACAACATGGAACTTTGCATGGCATGTCTCTAAGCAACAAAACTGAGCTCATGTTAAACCTGAAAGTCGATTACTTGTTTACTCATTCTTCTTTGAATGAGCCCTTATCATATATCATCATTATATCCTCTTTTTGTTTACACATTCTATGAACAACTGTTTTTTTCTTCATGTTCAGATGCATAATGTATTTGAATATACAGAATATGAGGCCTAAATTAAATATTTTTTCCTCTTATATCTTGTATTAATGAATAAAATAATTAGTCCAGTTAATATTCATTCTAAGTTAGAACTAGACAATTTACTTTAAACCTGAAAAAAATTGCCAGATAGATAGATAGATAGGTAGATGTGCCCTGAAGAAGCTGCATAATATATATTTACAGATATTTCCCAAAAATGAAAAATACAAATTATATACAGTATATATAACCTGTGACCCTGGACCACAAAACCAGTCATGAGTCACACGGGTATATTTGTAGCAATAGCCAAAAATACATTGTATGAGCAAAGTGAAACACGCCCACAACCGAAAGCGCCGCTCTCATTGGACATTTGCACACGCTGCACGCTCCTCTGTTTATGCTTCAGACGCGGTTTAATTCCCCACAGAGAGCGTCCTTTAACTAACCCAAAACATGTCAGAAGATATTTAAACCTAAATATCGTCGACAAGTGTAAATGGCGTGAAATTTAGGCTACTTTATTTGTTTTCCTGTAAGGTTCCTTTGTTCCAGCTGTATGAGACGCAGATGCAGTCATTTACACGCGGCAAGACATTATATTGTTTTTAGACTCTGCCATCGTTACTGAAATGAGGTAAGCACAACTTTTATTGTTTTTTTTTTCACACTGCATGAACTGAATTTCTCTTATTTTTAGACAGTCAAGAGGACGCCAGCAGTTGAGAAGTTCACATTATTGTAGCCAAGAATTGATATTTCACAGTTAAATAAGATTTTATTTTTTGTTTTGAAACTGTTTTCCTTCAGAAATACACATTTATTTTTCTTTGGTATTTCCAAAACTATTGTTCTGTTTAATAGTTTTTGAATTGATAAATCTATTGATTCACTGCGATATTTAATTAATGCATATTATCTCCCACCATTGACTAAGACTACTGTCTCTGCACTAAGATTTGTGTTTGATTTGTGCTCACAGTCAAAAGGGAGTCTTATCCATATGAACCTCTTTTGGATAAACAGGTAAGCCTAAGCCTATAACTGGGGAGGTATTCTATAATGTTATCAACCACAGCAAGCTTTAACAGTTTTTTTTTCTTCTGTTTTCAGGATGGTTGTAATGGGCCACAGGAGAACGCTGCAGTTGTCTGACCTTTGCAAGCTGTATAATGAGGAGTCTGTCCACACCCTATCCTCTGTGTTTGAGCACGAATGGGAAAAACAACAGAATTACAATGAGGTAACTGTGAAGATCCACAACAATAGCCAGAGACAAACACTTCTGTTGTACTTGTGTTCATTGTGAAAAGCATGCTTTGAATGAGATTTATTGTTAATATTTTATTCACACAGAGGTTGGACTTAGAAGAGGATTCTGGAAGAGAGTCACTGCTGGTCTCCAGAAAAGCCAATACTGGTTACTCTCTCCTTTATGCAATATGGGTGACATTCCGTCCAGCCTTAGTCAAAGTTGCGCTTCTGAGACTGTCAACTGATATTTTTAGCATTTTAGTTCCTTTGACTCTCAGGTATGACTGTGATTCTTATTTCATGCCAAGGCTAGATTTAGTTGTTCAAAAATACAGTTAAAACAGTTATATTGTCAAATATTAATACAGTTTAAAACAACAGTTTTCTATTTAAATATCACTTTCCAGAAAAATAATTTCAGCATTTAAGCACCAATAATAATTGACAAAATCAGCATATTAGCATGATTTCTGAATGATCATGTGACATTAAAGACTGGAGTATTGGCTGCTGAAATTCTCTGATCTGTTTTTGTACATGTTTTTTAACCTCAGGTGGCTTATCCTGTTCTGTGAGAGACAGGCTGTGTTTGACTGGGCAGGATACACGTATTCTCTGGTGATGTTGGGAGCAGTTTGCTGCTGTGCTGTTTCTCAGCATCACTTTGAGAAACATAGTAGGATAATTGCAGCCAATGCACAAGCGGTTCTAGCTGGCTTCCTCTACAGGAAGGTAAAGGTCTTATTAACTGTCTCATTATCTCAGTATGCTTTCAGTCCAAACAAAAAACAGTCTGCAACTTTTTTTTTCACAAATGTTTTGTCATGTCAAACTGAAAGTATATCCATTTCTTTATATACTGAAAGGATTATCTTCTTTATTCCATGGTTCATGTTCCCTCCATTCCACCCCCCCACCCCCCCACCCCCTCCCTATACATTTAAGACATTGCCCTTTTCCCATAGTTCTCGACAGCAATCAAACACCACTCAGGGGACAGATTTATTAAGGGAGGTTGAAAATGTTACAGAGCTAGTGGTCACATTAGCTTGTCTTTGGTCCACTCCCCTGAGAGTCGCTCTCTGTCTGGACTTACTGTGGGGAGAATTGGGCCCAGGTGTTCTAGTGGGGGTGGCATTGCTACTAGTCCTCATCCCTGTCAACTCTGCAGTAGAGCGCAAAGCCAAACAGCTTCAGGTTAGTAAGGCCAGTCTGCTGAAGAATTCCTTGGGAGTTTGCATGTGAAAAATAAGAGATGAAGCATGTTCAGTGTATTTCTGTAAATGTTCTGATGCTGATATGTTTTATAATCTTTGTTTGTTGTTCCTCAGAGAACTCAGCTGATCATCAGGGAAAGGAGTGAACAACTCATCAAGGAAATGTTGCATAAATACCAGGTCTTTTCTGTTCTTTTTTCTGTTCTTTTAGGATGGCTCAGTCACGTATCTGAGCATGAGCTGATTTAGATTGGAGGAATATTTCCTGCCTTAAGGACAAAAAAAAAAACAATCAAGCTCAGTTCTTGCTTGAATGACAAATTTTTAATTATCTCAGCAATTATCCAACAACAGCATTCCAATCAATTCCCGATTGACAAAATCAAGTCCTGCTCTGCACTTTTTCTCATTTGAGAAGCCGTTGTGCTTGGATGTCAGTATAGGGTAAAAAAAGACAATTGCAACTTAGGTTTTGTGGTGATTTAAAAAAAAA